TTTCACGTCATATTTTTTAGTAGGATTTTCATGTCACGTTATTAAAGTTTTAAAGTACTTTTTCAATTAAATATATTGGTTACACAGTATAAAAATGATCGTCACTTTATATCACGTTTAGTGATAGTATCGAATAAATTTGAGAAACAAAAATTGATATTGCGATTTTCATCAAATTTTGGATTATTTTAATTAAAATTTTTCTAGACGTTTTAAGAGTATCAAAGTTTACATGCATATTCACCAAAACCTAAGCTACATTTTGATAAAATTTTATGTGTAGTTATTATGTGTGTTTTTGTATAATTTGTAAAAACAGGTGTCCGGATACTTTTGTCCAGGGAGTGATATCTCATTTAATCCAAAAAAATTGGTAATAAAAATAATCAATTAATATTATTTATGCTTTCTGATCATGACTAAAATATTCACTTTACCCATTGAATATATACATATATAAAAATTGGTATAATATTCCTAATAATTCATAAAACAATAAATAACTTATTTATATATATATATATATTTAAGTTATTTAAAAAAAATATAATTTTAAGTAATCCTTACATGTAAATGTTTGTAAATTTAGGTAAAAGCAAATTTATGGCATATTCATTAATAGACAACTAGAAGTTTATTCTATATATCCCTATGGTTACTATTAATAAGAAATTTTGTATAGTTAGTTGGTTAACAAAAATTACTTTTTTAAACCAATACATTTGAGACCCAGAACTTACTATTAAAAGATCTTAAAAACTAGAAGTTCTATTTTATTTATTCCTATGGTTATTAAGAATTTTTGTATAAAGTTACAAGAAATGATAAGGTTTCTAATGAAATAACTTTGAATGTGAACTTAAATAATGAAAAAAAATGAAATTTTCTTCAACTAATAGCTTTTTATATCTTGTAAATTTTGCAGTGATCCTCAGGTTATATATTCAGAAGAATTTGTTTCGACTTTTATATATGAATTTTATTAAAAAATTTTTTTTGTTCAACATGTATAGAAGTATCATGTTAGACCATTTGTAATATATATGAATGGATCAACAAAAAGGGTTCCATATTTAGCATATTCCTTGACTGAAATATATTTTTTTTTAAGGGGATAAGAATGTTGCACACAATTTTAGAATTTTCAATTGTATTCCAGAATGTGATCATTGCAGTATTTAGAAATTCCAAATTTGAAAAAATCTTGATATGTGGATGCCTTCTTTGCAAAGTGCTTTACAAAAGTTTGATCCTATATTACACAGTATTAAAAATGCTGACAGTGTCACTGCATATACTGCCCATATACAGAGAATAATGGATTGTGACTTGTTTGTCAGCTGTAAGGATTACCATCCATCCACTATGACAATGTATAATCATATAGATAGTTGGTCCTAATGTCATAATAGTTGTGATCATTATGAACAATGGTCCTTGTTTTCCAACTGCCATGGTGTAAATATAAGGAATTTCACATATGCTAAAGCAATGGTAAAAATCAACAGCCAATTCCAAACAATCAATATGGCAATCCATAACAATATGTTTGCTGTGTTAGTTCTAAACAAATGTTAAAAGGAATTTGACAAGTTAGTGATGGAATTTGTGGGAAAATATAGTTTGAAAAAAGATCATGTAGACTCTCACACAAGACTAGAAATATTACAAAGTTCATAAATTTTGTAAGCAAAAACAAAAGGAAATTAAAATATCAATCAAAGTCACATAAATGGTAAGAATAATAATTGAGAATTTCATGAAATGAACCATCTTTGCGAAAAAAAAATTTCTGAAAGGAATGTGGTGAGAGAAGAGTAAATCCCTCTATGTTGATGATGAAGGAGTGAAAAGTTAAAGTTAAATAAACAATAAATAAACAACAGTTCAAAGGTTTAAATACTCCACGAAAATACTCATTAAAACGGTAATAGCCACCTTTAATATATATAAATAACTAATATAAACAAACATTGGTCCTCCTAATAAGGGAACCGGGTAATGAATGAATTATTGTGTTTGTCATACATGTTATATTAACAAGTGACTAGTAAATAGTATAATATAAATTTCCACGACTCTAATAAACATCTACTTTTTCTTGAGAAGTTTGAGTTTTCCAAATAAATAAATAAACTCTTGGTGCTTATATAGCAAGGAATGTATTATAATTATTATGACCAAGATGAAAATTAAAAAAAAATTTTTTGATCGGTAAATATTAATACTCATACATTCCATACATACATATCAGATTAATAGCATCATGCAATCAAATCTTTAATGACCCGCAAGATTCATGTTGAGCAACTTATTTTTCTTATGCGATGTTATAAAATATTATTTATAAATTAATTAATTTCATTCATTAAACAGTTTGAGAATGATCTATCTGAGGCCAAGTTAATGGATATATATATATATATATCAATTATTATTAGTGTTAATATATGTCAATGCCTTGCCTTTTTCAATTAATCGATTATGTTAGTTTTAGTTGTTACCGATTTGTAAAATATTTTAAAAATTATTTCAACAAATAGTCGGTATTTAGTAAGTATTTGTTTGACGTGATAAAAAACTTGTTCAGCCTTATCACTTTACTCCTTGATTTATACTATTTTACACGTTTTAACACACGGACAATTTTAAACGTGAATGAATTCTTGATTTTAATTTTAAAATTAAAAAAAATTTGCAAATAAATAAATAGGAAAATTAATAAACTTTATTTTTGAATCGTTTCCTTAAAAAGAACAAAACCACTTTTATTTCTTTTAAATAAAAAAAAAAAAAAAATAAAAAAAAATTTAAAAAATGTACGGATATTTGTGACTTTCAAAAAAAAAATCAAATATATGAAAGTGTACTGGATAATATCCGTCATTAATTTATTTAATCTACTCCCTTGGATAAACCCAATTCAACAAAAATTTGTGTTGATAGGTTAGGTATATATAAAAAAAAGGAGATATATATCTAAAAAAAAGATCATTTCACAACTTTCCATATGGATTGATTTTTTTCTTTTATATTATAATAAATATTATATATATTAATTTTCCTTCCTCCCCTCTCCCCCGATTTCTTTTCTCTTTGCCCTCCTCCCTGAGGATTTTCTTGCCCTTTGTATTCCCATTTCATCAAATGATCAAAAATTGATCAGATCATATAAAAATTCTCTCGAGGTGTATGTGTTCCTCAAAACGTAGTAAGGTATATTATATAGTTGAAAATAAAAAAAAAGGAAAAGGGGGAGGGAAAATAAATTATCATTTAAATTCTCACATGTTCTCATTTTTTGCCAAACAATTAAAAAAAATTTTCTAAATCCATCCTCTTTTATATCTTTATTCATTGGGAAAACTATTTTGAAAAGTGGAGGATGATGATGATGATGACGATGACGATGAGGATAAAAAAAAAGGCCAAGAGTTAATTTTAATTAATTGATATCTCCATTCATGGGCTGATCGAATGAATTGAATAATTATCATTAGTAAATAATAATATAACTGGTGATATGATGGTTGTTGTTGATGTTGAGATATAATGTTTTTTGATGATAATTTGATTGTGTAAAAATGCTAATGCAAAAATTTTTTTTATATAAATTAATTTACAATAATTAACAAAAAAAAAAAATAATTAACAAAGAATTATGTGTGATGGGATTGAATGTGAAGAAGAAAAAAAATGTGTATATATTTTATGCGTGTATAATTATTTGTGTGTATATGTTTTTATATACATTTATAACGAAAAATTATATTTTTTATAATGTTGAATGTGGGTAGTGGTGTGTATATATATTAATTGTTGTATATATTATATTATTATTGGTGTCCAAAGATTTTGATTTTTCAACATTAAAAAAAAAATTAATTAACTAATTAAAGGTGAAAATAATTAAAAATATTCTAAAAAAAAAATTACAATTAGGAAAAGGAAATTTTTAAAATGTAAAAAGAAAAATTTTTTTGAAATATGTACAAATGAAAATATAAATTCACAAAGCAATAATCAAGTATAATAAGCAGCAAGCAGTAAATTATGAATTTAGAATTATAATTATAAATTAATAATGTAAGAAGAAGGTTGTTGTTGTTGTTGTTGTTGTTGTTGTTGTTGTTGTGATGGTGGCGGATAAAATGTACATAATAAATTATCTAATTATTATTTTTTGAAAGGATTCGTTGTGTTTTTTAATAATTGTAGTGGGATAAGGAAAAAAACTAATGTTATATCGGTACAAATCCATCGTAGCTTGGACTACCAAATCCTCTTCCACCATTCATCACCTCGGCAAAGAAATCCCTTATTGAATTTGTAATGGACCATACTATTCTCCAGGATGTAGTCTGGTCAACACCGTAAGTTCCATGCACAACTGGTTCATATGGCTCAACGTATAAATATGTATAATGATGTCTTTTCACACTGTACAAAAAAAAAAAAAATAGTAATGTTGATTTTAATATATATATATATATTACTTTAAATCAATCATTAATTTGTTTCAAAAAAGTTATCAACTTACGTCCAAATTAAACAAATGATTGATAATTCTATTAAAAGAATAATGAGTAAAAGTAAAGTCCAATTTATTTTTATTTTATTGATATTGTCGTTCATGTTATTAGGTTTTATTGTTACTGGTGGTTTATTATCGTTGCCCTTCGCTAACAAAGCTTTAATTTTATTACGCATCATGGTTGCTTCTTCTTCTAATTCCTCGTCCACTTTTTTGTTAGTTCCAAATCGCGCTATCAAAGATTTTATTTCGCTCTAATATTATAATATAGATAATTGATTAATATCATTGTTGCGCATACCAAAAATATATAGAACAAGTGTTTATAGTTTTTTTTGATGAACTTACTTTTGATTTTTCACACTTTTCTCGTTCATGATGATGATCCGATGGTTTTCTTTTTTTGATAGTGTCAGACATTTTTTTTGGGATTATAATAGTTTTTTTTTTTTTCAATACAGTAATAAAAAATAACGGAAATGGGTAAAATATTATTAAATAATAATAATATAATAATAATTTTTTTTTTTGAAAAAAAAACGGTTTTTTATTTATTTTTAGTTATTTTAGAAAAAAAAAGTTATTATTTATCAAGAAATGATATTAATTTTTTTTTTTTTTTTTTTAAAAAAATAAAATTTTGATTGTGCAGCAAGCTATGTTTATATTATATATTTATATACAAGTAGAATTTAAAATAGGGTAATCATAGGAAGGGTATGTTGAAAAATATATTAGGGGCGTGTTAAAAGTGGAACGTGCGTGGTTGTTAGTGAATTTTACTCATGTGGTGTGGAGTATAAGGCTGTTACAATTAAAAAAATTAATTTTGAAAATTGAATTCTTTTCCAAAAAATTAAATTATAACCCCGTTTTTTTAACTCCTCTCTCCATACAATTAATAATAATATTTAATTTGTAAAACAACAACAGTTAAATTATAAAATAATAATGATGATATTTTTATATATTGTTGCAGATAGTGGACCCATCATCACCATCATCATCAATCATCATCAAAATCATTTGTCTCTCTTATTTAAAATTCGTCATACATGACACACAATACATTATATACATAAAATTACATAAAATACTATAATTAATAAGTAACACATGATGATAAGTAAAACGTTGTACGAATATACAGACAACGTAATCGATATCAATTATAGTAATTGAGCTATCGTTTCTCCGTTTTGTATATATAAAGTATATGGAATAGTTTCTATAAAGAAAACATACAAAATAAGATAGTGGTTTAGCATTTTTTTTAATTCGGTTAATAATATACCGAATCGGCAAATGTTTATTTCATATGACATGGAACATTGCAATTCTAAAAAAAGAAAGCATCACATCACCATCATCACATAACCATCATATCATCATAAAAATACCGACTAAGGTTGAAAATGATTAAAATTGGTTAAATTGGTTGAGTTTGAGTCTTCTACATAGAAAAGTTTATGCAAGTATGTTATTTTGTACAACCTTTGTATCCCAATATAACCCAATTATAATTATAAAAACTTTATAAACTGCATTTTATTTATACCGTTTTTGGTACGTATTACTTTTGTGTATCATGTATTTTTTATTATACAAACAAAGAAATGTAAAATATGCAAAAGAAATTTGAATTTGTGTATGTGTTACTCGTTTTGTGTAACAATATAATAATAGTCGATATCAGTATTTTAAATTTAATTTTTATTGTTACCGTTTATTATTTGTCGTCGTTGCCAAAAAATCAAAGTTCAGCAAATCAATCATACACATAATGTGAATAATATTTATTCATTATTGCATTATATCGATATGTTTATAATGCAATAATAATAATAACGACAATGATAGTAATTAATGGTAGTGGAATGGGTAATAATAATCGAAAAAACATTGAAAAAAAATTATAATAAATGATTAACGCGCAATTAAATGTTTAAAATTTATTTTTTAGAATCAATTAATCAAAATGATCTTTAATTAATGAAATAAATGTATGGAAATAATGGATTAATTAAACCAATCAATAGAACCATTAAACTAATCGGATTGGTGGTGCAAGATGCAAAAAATGCAAGGAATGAATTTTAATTTTAATTTGGTACACACGAATTTTTTAGGTAAGAGAAAATAAATAAAGTTATGAATGAATGAATAGAGAGAGAGAGAGAGAGAGAGTTAGTTAATTAAATATTTATTATTATAATTAATCATCTTTAAGGGAAGGAGTAACTTCAAGTTTGAAATATAAAAATTTGCAAATAATAATCTCTCTCCACAACAATCTCAAATTTCTAATCTCCAATCTTCATTTCATAATCAATCATCTGACATATGGTTTTACCCAAAACGAAATTTTTAAAGATGAGATCATATGCTTCTTATAAAAGAAACTTTAATCCATCCCTAAATTAGAATAAATATATGCACACACATACCATATACAACATTATCATACATACCATCCATACATGACAGTACTTCATTATTTTAGACATTTTTTGTTCTTTCTTCCCTTCCTTCCCTCCTCTCATACTCGTTCTTCTTTACGCATCATCACACGCACATCATCATCACACACACATCATCATCATCATCATCATCATCATCATCATCATCATTACACACACAACCTTTCAATTCTTTTTTTCCCTTTAAACCTTTCTTTCTTCATAATACAATGTTGTGAACGTGTAACAAGAAAATCACAATAAATAAAATCTATTATTTTTAATTTTATCAGAAAAAAAATTTTTACCCCAGACTGTTTATTGACGTTTTTTGTGTTGCAATAATAATAATCAAACAATAAACTTGATATCTTCCAAGTTTTTTATTATTATGTAAATTAAAATGATTAATTTCCTTTATTATCCATTTATAAAGATATAAATAACTTTAGGGCTTTATATATAAAAGTATGCCCCTAAATAATAATTAAATGTCACTCTTACCAATAGAATTACAAAAACATAAAAATACCCAAGAATGATAAAGAAAGATTCCTTAATAAGCTTATTTCTTTCGGTGTTGTTCGAATCAATGTTTTATCAATCAACTTGAGAAAATTGAATAAAAACGAATAAAAACGCTTCTTTCTCTTAACATTCTGTAAACAAAACCCTCAACTACTACCACATATACCTACCTACCTGCTTTTTGATTAATTTACTAAAACTAGGAAATTGTACGCAAATCACACTTTCGTATATCTCTTAATTAATACTTATTATTATTCTAAAAATTGCTTTGATTTTTTCAACATTACATAGATGTTGATACAATGGCGATTGAGCTTTATTGTTTTTTCTTGCATGAGCATGGCAATCTATAACAATTATGTAATAGGAAGGAGATGAGTATATCATCATATAAATAAACGAATGTTCAATAATTCGAATTTACTTTTTTAGACAAATATAAAGCTTTTACTTGCGAGTTAAAGCACTCACCCTATCACAACCATCATTCGGGAGCTCTGTTAGCATTAATTTCTTATTCTACAACATTGGTTCCATTATCTTCGTTAGGAAAATATTGTAACCTTCCACGCTTTTTTTTTATTAAATGCAGAAAAATGCATAAACTTTTTAATGTTCTCTCAACTTAATAAGTTTACATGTGAACATTTTCTTCATTTTCACTTTCTCGTTTAAAAGTTGTTGGAAATTTCATTTCTCCAGTTAGTTACATAGCTCTTATCGTAAAAATATTTTAAGAAAAGAGTGTTAGTCACCCGCCAGGCTTATCCAATATTAAAAACAGAAAAAGGATCAATAGCAAGATGCGGAAATAAATTATTATGTGATTAAGGAAAGATACGCGCTAAATATATTGTTAGTAAAAAATAAAATTGTCAATGACGGAAAAACTCCAAAATTAATAAGTGTTGCACAAATAAAATGAATACCAAAGATTCCTCAAGAATTATATGATCTATCCAATCCCAGTTAAACCATGAATATATACCTTGTTGTTGCTTTCAATGCTTGATTTCGTTCACGAAAGATATTTTCCAATAAGATTTTAAACGTATATATATATATATATATATATATATCCTTTTGTTCTGGTTTAACATGTTGCAAAACAAATAAGCATATATATATATATATATATATAGTATAGCAATACATTTATACAAATTAAAAATATAATAACAAACATTATTTTTTATAGCTTCAAACATACTTGAATCGTAATCTTCTCAAAGATCGTTTAGATCAAACACTTCCAAGGCTACTCCAATCTTCAATGAATGATTCGATTTCCCATATGATTTTTCTTGATAACCTTTGTATCCGTACAAAATTGTAAATTGCAATAGACATGTCGATCGCGTGAAATGTCGTCTGAATTCCAGAATGTTTCTTGCGGAAAACAATTTTCAAAGAAAACGTTATTTTGAAATATTTATATAATAACTTTTTCTACATGTCATAATCACAACCTTTTATCATCTTCCTAAAGAGCATATAACACAAGAACTAGTGATTCAATTTTAAAATCTCTCTATTAAATGAAACTTCAAAGGTAAAGCAGCAAACTAATAGAAATCTTTTCCATAATTTTTATTTATTGGGTCACAAGCAGTGTTGAGTTGATAGTGAAGTTAAAAACACTATTAATAAAACGAAGGTAATTTATAAGTCAAACTAGAGGCCTGCATGGATAACAATAATTGAACCCATATCCGTATGATATCAAACCCCGTTTCTCAACTCATACTACTACCCAAAAAAAATTCCAATCCCGAAATTTACTCATATCTTTTTTAATTTAAAAAAAATAACAGAACAATATTCAAATATCATTTAAAACAATTTTTAATTAAGAATTATTATTGAGAGCATTACATAAAACAAGAATACCATCAACTGTTTCTGTATTTAAATTTGATTGATCTTGATGAGTTTTCTACCATTATAAAATGTTTAAATTCAATTCCTTTTGTACTTTTTTGAAGGCAAATGTTTATCCTGAATCCTAAAATCTGTTAAATCAACATTAAAAAATTTTTTTAATAGGTCTTGCATGAATTTCTTTATGTAAACTAACACCATATTATTTTTATCATTAGCAAATTGAGATGACAGGATATTATACTGGTGTCTTATTTCATTTTTTACCATTCAGCATCATAAGATTCTAAAATTTTGACTGCCTGTATTATTATAATATATTTTTTTTTGGTATATATAGAAAATTTTTTAATTTTTTCAGGTTGACAAATCCAGCCTAAGCATGTTAGCCGAAATTCTCTCTTAATAATGAATCCGAAATGCCGAAATAGTTTTTCATAGTCACCAAAATCAACTTTATTTGAACACTTTAACTCAATAGCCAAAATTCTGGTAGTTTTTTTATGTCTATTGATATATAAAGAATATTGTGATTGCTTGCCGAAATTGATTTTTTTTCAAAAACCATTTCGGCCAACATCCTTAATCCAGCCCGTTGCAGGCCTCTAAATCAAACCCTTGTTTCAACTAACTCACTAATTGAATTACAACAGATTCACATGATTTAAACCAATAAAATATATAATGCGACAACAAAATCTAAAATCAATTTAATCAATCTATAAAAAATGGATTTTTTTATAACTTTTTAAATTAAAGAAATATTCCAGAAATATTATTTTCCTATTTTATCAAAAATTTTGATTTATTTAGATTTGTTTTTTGATTATTTTTATTACTTTAACAAATTTTATTATAAATAAGACCAGTGTTGTTATTGGACACAGATGCAGACTATCTATCTGTGTTTGGTGGCAACATTGTATGAGAATAGTTGAAGACAAGATTGAAGCAAAGTTGGGAGAAGTAGATTATAAGAAGAACGTGTTAATGAAAACCATATACATTGTTCTTATATTTGTACTTCTTATCATCGACCATGATCTACAGGAACAATAAATTATATGTGCGTTCCAGCAAGACTCAATTGCTAATTTTATTAAGAAATTGGAACAAGTATTATCTAAAATCTCAACTTTAGTTGCAGATATTATTGTTAGAAGTTGGAATAGTTATGTGAAGGGTTTTAATGGAATTTGTTGGTTTGATCCTATAAAAAAAATTTTTTATATTTAGAATTGATAATGAAATTGTTAGATATTACATGTAATAATTATTCCACAGTTCCCTCTGGAATAACTGATTTATACCGTGTAGACTGAAAAGGTTTATTTTATTATTTATTTTTTATGTAATAAAAACTTTACTGCACTTTTATTCTTTCCCAATTTATTCCTTTTGAAATTTTTCAACCTATTTTTACTAGTACAAGTACCCTTTTACCTTACCTCAAATTGGAATGGTTCAGAGAAACTTCAATATCAATCTATTCCTTTCTACACAAACACCATTTGAAATTCAAGATAATCTTAATTTTTATCGTGAAAAAGCTCTATATAGTAAACAACATCTTGTTACTATGAAGACTTTAACTCATGCTATAGAATATCATAATCTTCGATCATTGCAGATTCAACAAGTATAACATAAATACTATCAATGCCACGTTTTAAAGATAGCTCAATTAATTACGATTAGTTGCGGAATATAAAAATTGCGGTTCCCATATTTAGCTACGCCTGAATTTCATAATGATTTGCATTTGTCAAATGCGTTATTTTACGAGTTTCAAAATATGCGACCAATAGTAAACATAGTAATAGTGTTTTATTGCAAGAGAACTATGTTTACGAAAATATTTATTTTGAAAATATTCTAGTGATGTGAGCCGTTTAAAATCCTTAGCCGGCTAAGCCGTTTACTACCTAAATTGATAATTTTTATTGATATCATCAAATATAGAATTGTGCATGCATATTATATGTCGGCAAATCCATTTTATTATATAGTTATTTGCAAATTTTAAAATTTAAACAATAAATATTTAACATATTATATTATTGAACAATAAATATTTATTTTTATTATTGAACAATAAATAACTATATTATTGGTTGTAATTAATAGATTTATTTTTCATGAATTTATAAAATAAATTGATGTTATGAATGTGTATATAGTAATTAAATTGTTGTTATGTTGAAATATTTCGTGTGAGCAAGTCGTATATGCTGAAAAGCTACAGAGCACGTCACATTGATCTAGAACGAAAGCGCTTGGGCAAGATCAATGTATGGTGTTGGTAAACATTAAATTTAATAATGTCAATATTAATGTGTTTCTCTTCGAGTGTTGTAAAGACAACAGGAACAAGAATTAGATACTTTCAAAATCTGAAACGACATCAAGCTTCGTAGTATTACTTTTCGTTATTGTTTCATATTATGAATTATGAAAGATATAAGGATAAAGAGAAAACAAACTATCTAGTTCATAATAAAACAGTACAAAGTACTTGTAAAAATATTTCAATAATACGTTTCTAATCATATATATACTATACAGTGTGTGCGAATAAAAAACATTAGAATATCAGATAGAACAAACCAACGTTATTGTAAATATGATGTATTGTATATAATTCCCTCACTCTTAAAAAACAACCGATCAGTGAAAGTTATGCAATATTTTTGTCATGTGTGCGCAGATAAATAAATAGTCCTGAGGATAAATTATTTTATTTAAAGACTCAACCTTAATATAACGATTTCCCAGGTGATTTATAGAAAAATAATATTTTTTTATATTTATATTTTTTAAATAATCAACAACAAAAATTAATATTAATAAAATATAAATAAATTATATGAAAAAGGAAAATATATTAATGATAATTAATGATGGTATAATAATAAAAATCTACAAAAAAATACTTTTTTAAAATGAAAACTTTGTTCATTTTTTTTTCTATAAATTATAAAAATGATTATAATAAAAGTGATGATTAAAAATGATTAAAAAAAAGTTTATGTATGTATATTAAAATATATACATATCGAAGATTTACAAAAATAATATTAATAAAATAAAATAATAATAAAATTCATTAATTAGCATTAATATTTTTAAAAAAATTTGAAAAATAATAATATAAAATAATATATATATTCTATTGTTTTTTCTCGGTTGTAAAATAATAATTAATTAACAAAAAAATATACAAACACTAATATTTTTTCTCCAAGTTATTACTAAAAAAAAATTTATAATAATAATTAATCTGAATTTAACAAATTATAAAACCAGAAGAAAAACAATCAATAAAATTAATACTATTTATAAAACACAAATAAATATTTCATTCTATTGTTCGCTTCTTTTTCTTTGTTAATTAATTATGAATCTTAATTTTAATTGATAAATTGATAGATTTTTGTTGTTGATAATATGAATTATAATAATAATTAATATAATAATGATTATATAATAGTTGTCGTTGATGGTTTATATTATTCATTAATTATTTCAAATCATTGATTTTTACCACCAACTTTGTTTGTTATTATATCCATTCGTTGCCGATCCATAACCACCACTGCTTCCACCTCCACCTGTACCATAACCACCTGTTCCACTACCGCTATATGTTCCATATCCACCATAATAAATGCTATTTTAAAATGAATCATTTAATTAATTGTTTGTTCAAAAAATAAAAATGAATATATTGAATCAATTTATTTTGATTCACTTACTCATTTGCACCAGAACTACTTCCATAAGTTCCTCGCTCACTGCTACTACCAGTAAACTTTCTATAATCTCTATTTTGTCCACCACCACCCCTACCACGTCCACGAGTGCTGCGAGTGCCACTATAAGATTGTACTTCTCTTGCTACAGTCTCCAACCATCCAGGAATTTCTTGATTTGCCTCTCTCAACAACTCAATTAAATCTTTTACTATTCCCTTATTATTCCGATTGAAAAATGCCGTTGATAATCCAACATTACCGGCACGTCCTGTACGTCCAATTCTATGTACATAATCGTCAATATCTGTTGGAAGGTCATAATTGATGACATGTGTGACATTAGGAATATCTAGTCCACGGGCTGCCACTGCGGTTGCTACCATAATAGGTGTACGTCCAGATCTGAATGAATCCAATGCTCTCTCTCGCTCACGTTGTGATCTATCACCATGAATAGATGTTGCTGGGTAGCCTGCTTGAATCAAATAGTCTGATAGCATGTCTGCCATACGTTTTGTCTCAACAAAAATCAACGTTAGACCACCTTGCTCAACTCCTGGTTGTGAATGAAGTATATCCAACAAAATTGATCGCTTATCATCATCCTCTACATACTCTATCTTCTGTGTTATATTCTCACTAGTACTTCCAACTCTTCCAACACTTAAAAATACATAGTCCTTTAAAAAGTCTCGTGCAAGTATTTGAATGTCACGTGGAAATGTTGCACTAAACATAAGTGTTTGTCGTCCATCCACTCCGGGCATGTCTAAAAAATTTATAAAGTTTATTTATGATTTTGGGAAAAACATGTACAAAAAAAAAATCATTTTTACCTTCTTGTTCAACAATACGTCTAATTTGGGGTTCAAAACCCATATCTAACATACGATCAGCTTCATCAAGCACCAAGTATCGAATATTTGATAAACTAACACGGCCACGTTCGATCAAGTCAACAAGACGACCAGGTGTAGCAGTCAACAAATCACAACCTTTATCAACAGTTCTCAACTGACTGGATATGTCAGCTCCACCATAAACAACACAAGGATGAACCCATGAACGATATGCAAATTTTCTTGCTTCTTCGTAAATTTGTGATGCCAATTCTCTGGTCGGTGCAAGAATCAATGCTACAGGGTAGGCTTTTCGGCTACGAGACATTCCACGAGTATAGCCAGTTGGTTCTGGTGGAGGAGTTGGTGGTCCATGCTTGAATAATTCTGACAAGATCGGAAATAAAAACCCACCTGTTTTACCAGATCCGGTTTGAGCACATGCCATTAAATCTCTACCTGCTGTCACAATAGGTATAGAATATTTTTGTACTGGTGTTGGTGTATTATAACGTGCAAGATCAATATTAGCAAGTAAATGTGTATCTAATGGTGGACTAGTAAACTAAACAAGTAGAATAGATCAATGAATTAATATCGATAAAGGTTTACATTAGTGAGTGTAAGTTAATACAAAAAAAAAATCAAATTCACCTGCGTTACGGAGTCGGGTACATTATTACCGCTAGCTTCAACAGGAATATCATCATATTTTTCAAAATTGATACCAGTATGTTGACGATCTAAGTCACCAGCATTACCAAAAAGATCCCTTTCTAATTTTTGATTTTTTGGAGCAATAGTATGTGCACCTTCATGCCAACTACCATAACCATCATTATCGCGCCTATTATAAAAATCGTCAGCAGCAAAATTACCACCACGATGACTGTTACGACCAGCACCTCCACTATTGCTGCCAGTATTTCTATAACCCGAATTCCAATTTTCACCTTGTGATGATGCACGATCATTCCAACCACCACGACTTGATGATGAATATCCCATTTCACTACGACTACCACCCCAAGCATCTGGTCTAGGAAAAGATGTCTGGCGAGTATCCCAATTTACTGCTGGAGCTGCACTATTGTTGTTATATTAAAAATTAAAAATATTAATTATTAATGTAATATATTTGTTATCATTTAAAATATTATTAGATAAAGGTCTGATAATACTTATATAATCAATATATGTATCATTATTAACAAAACATTGCAAAAATAAAAAAATTCCTCTGATAGTCCGTTTACCAATAAATAAACAAATACAAACCTTTCATTTCTTGTGTGCCATCCGTTATTAGAACGACGAGATTGAAGTGGTGGTACTAATTCATCAGACTCATTATTATAATAGTTGTTATTGACGTCATTATTATTATAATAACTATTATTATTATCTGGTGGTGTTGTAGTAATAGTTGCAATATTTCTATAATTTGAAGAAGCGGGATTTGAAGAAGCGGGTGTTGTTGATGATATAGTTATTCGTTCTTGAGAAGCAGAAGATGTATTAGTAATTGTAGTTGTTGTATTATCATTAGTAGTATCAATATTATTAGCGGATTTATTTCTCATATGAGGAGGAACATATCGACCAGCGGTAGGCTTCCCCTTGATGCCCAAATTAGCTATTATAACGATGAGTAAATAAATTTTAAAGAAGGTAGAGATAGATAGATCCATGTAAGAAATAAATATATAAATAATAATATTTTTTTTCCTTTAAAAAATACATGTATAGATTTGCAAAATAATAAAAATCTAATAATAATAACAACAAAACACATACCAAATTGCTCGTCTAGGCGTGAATCATTTGAATTGCCATTGTTCATAATTGAAATGTAAAAATTTTAAAATATGAGTTGCAAAATGAAAAAAAAAACAAAATTTAATTATAGATTGAGATTTTTTGTGTATTTATATATTATGTTTATATAGTTAGTATTAGGTTAATAGATGAAAAATGTCGAGGAAAAATTTTTTTTTTAAAAAAGTTTATTTTATTTATTATATATATAAAGCCACTATTGTATTTATTAAGGAAAAAAAAAATTTTTTTTTTCAGTCAGATTGATTTATAATCTTTGTTTTCAGTCAATTTAACTTTTAACTTTGGCGTTAAATTATGACTACGCATAAAAAATCAAAAAAAAATACTTATTGTGTGAAATAATAATAATAATAACTTATTCTATTCACGATACATGGAAAAGAAATCATGCAAAAATTTTCCGTTAAATTTAAATTTAATGTTACACTTCAAATAAATAAATTTATTTCATTTTCCAAAGATATATCGATATTATCTATATATGTGATTAATATTATATGAAGTATTAGTTAATTAATTATTTAATAAACATGGTTGACTCATTGATTACCGTATTTCTCAATGATTGATATTAATTGATATCAAAACTGAAATATTGAAAATTACAATTTTTTTTGCTTTTCTTGTATGAAGTAAATAGTAATATTTATTTATTAATAAATATCTAGATATAATAATAATAATAAAAAACAATTATTTATGGTCAAGTATGTGACACGAAATTACATCATCGCCATTTTATTTTTTACCTTTTCTAGCAGGAAGAAAAAAAAGAGAATAATGAATTGCGTTTAAACTACTATGGAATTAAGACATTGTATTATTTGTGAATGGCATTTTGAATTGAATTTAACACAATTTTTTCACATTCCACATTAGAAAATGCAAGTAGTGATTCAGCAAGAAAGCTTTCAAAGAAACTCACTCTTTATCTTACAAGGATTACTAAAATTGTGTGATCAGTGAATAATGCTTTGAATTTAAAAGTCAAAAATTTGATTTGATAGATTTTCAAGAAATATATTTCAATCAATCAATCAATCAAGAAACATTCTACACATTAGATCCATCTAATGAAGGGATTTGATTGCACATTAAAAATTTAAAATGTTATAATTTGTACTAAATGATAATAGTAATGATAATGATCAATAATAAACAATAATAATAATAATTACATAATTAAGTTTCTTTTTCTACAAGTAAAATTTGAATCAAAATCTACAATAAGAGCAAAACATTGTTTAGTTCGGTTACATGCAAGATAGTAACTTAGTACCTTAATAACTTGTATTATAAATGTACAGTATAACCTTGTCACAACAAGTGGCTGGATGTATAAGAAAATTTCATTTAAAATTACAATTTTTATGATATACACACATCATAACAGTAAGAAATTTCTTGATTTCCAAAGTATTGATTGGTATACATTAATTAGTACTATTAAAAACCTCTTATCATCATGACTCATTGAGAATATATAATATATACTGCCACCTTTGTTTTTTTTAACAAACCACAAATAATTATGACCATGAGAAAAATAAAGTATGTCAATCTTTTGTTGGAAAAAGATGTTTGTTATTATATGGGCATACTACAGCAAAACCAGACAAGTGAACATTGATATTATCAAGAATTTCAGGGATCAAAAATTTAGTTATTCTTAAGTGATATATAGAATTACTCCTATATAAAAATAATAATATGAAACTCATCTATGGAGTCCAAAAATCATAGTACAACCAGAAGTATTTTGAAAAGGAGAAAATTGGCCCTTATATTTTCAAAATAAATGATACTCGGACACTGGAAGTTTATCTAAGGAATGAAAGGATTGTCTATGAAATTTACCAAGAAAGAAAAAATCATAACTTGTAAAAGAACTTTGCCACAAAATTGTGAAGAATTTAGAAAGAAAAAGAAAATTGGAAGGGAAATAATTTACTACCTACTTATAGATGAGCATGCATTTATTTATTATCTTTTAAAAATTAAAGAATTAGTGTGGGTTGGTTTGACTTGCTTAGGTTTTACTTCAATTATTTGTTCTTGTTTCTTTTTAAGTGAATTTTCTCATCTTTTTTTGTAAGCTGTAGTAGTTTATTCTTTTTCCTTGGTAATGCTGATAAAGATTTTTGGCTAAATGTGGTTCTTGTTTTAGTTGCTGAATTGCTTGGGCTTGTCAACTTATCTCTTGATTCTTAAATGTTTCTAATTGCTCTAATGTAAACGTTCAAATAATTATCACAATTATTTACAAACGTTTAGATATTTATTTAACACTATTAATGAACTGATAATTTTATTATTGTAAAATTATATAAAAGTTATCTTTATTTTACATCTTTAAATAATAAAAATACAATTCTTAAAATACAAATATAAATCATAAAGAAATAAAGAAATATATAATCTATATATTGTATAGAAGCTTATAGACTTCCCGGAAAGTATTGATCATAATTAAAGATAACTTCTTAATTATAAATAATATAAATAAAAATAATAATATGATTATATTCCCCACAATATAACATAACAATATAATATCCACTTTTCTTAATAAAAATAATAATGATAATAATAATAATAATATGTATAATTCACCAAAAATCCCGATTGCCAAGTGACTTAAATTAAACGATAAAAAAAAAAAAATATGAATTCCTCTTACCAAATATGGTAATAAAATTAAATGCCATTTGTGTGACATATTATTTCGAGGATTGTTACATCTAATTTCTCAGCTAATTGTCTTTCTCTTCATTCCTGGGCTACTTCTATGGCTTCAAGGTGAATTTCAACATCTAAACTTGCCTCTCTAGTTTTTACTTCAATTTTCAATAATTTCAATAGTTTTGATTATTCTGCTATTCCTCTCTTCATTTTTTAACCACTTAATAAATCTTCTTTTAATTATCTTTATCTGTTTTTATTTCTTCATCAATTGACTCATAATATTTTGAAACTATTTCAGAAATGTTATTTTCAAGGTTTTTATAATCTTTTTCAATTCTTTCTTTTTCCTTATTTAACTTATACTTTTCTAAGTTTTCTTTGACTAATCTCAATTTTGTTTTTTTATTTTTTTATTCAAGTAATATCAAATAATTGTATACATGTGAATAATTAATAATAATGATAATTCTATATATTTGTAATTGATTAAATGCCCATGTACACTTAAACCATTAAGCATAGCATGACATACTTTCCTTTTAACAAATTAAATTGTAATTTGGGAATGGAACCCTTGAATTGTATTACCTTGATATTATTGAGTTGATCAAGTATCCTTGGTGTATCCATCTTGAAATTGATTGTTGGTTTTTTGGTGGAATATTTGTGTTTTATTGCTATTTTTATTATTATTATTTTTTTTTGTTATTTTTGGTGTTGTTGTTGATATTTTTTTTGTTTGGGGGTTTTCCTTTCCTTTTGATTCCAATAAAAGACACCAGAAAAAAAAATTAAAAGTGCATGCTTATAATTTCTTCAATCAAACTGAAGAAAAAGATCACTCCAGCAATGCATACAAGCTTTCTCATAAGCCAGCCAGTTATCTTCTCAATGGTGCACTGCATAAACATCAAGACTAAAGGAATTAAATTGCTCAAAAGGTCAGTTAAATATAAAAATTCAATGTTTTTGCATGTATGACCATACTTAGAACAAACAATACCATCCCATGCCATGTGCATGATGTGAAGAATTAAATCAATTTGCCATGGCTGTGGCTTCTTACCAAGATCCTTACATATGCCAAATATTCCTTTATAAGCATCATTAAATAAAGATGAGTTTCCCTTAAATATGAGTTCATGATCATTTAAGGACATATGGAGAGGCAAAAATGCTGTAATGAATGAAGGAATAATTTCATTATAATTGAGAAGCCAATGTATAACAGCTTTATGAATGAAAAACTGGCCAGGCCAGTCTGCAACAATGGGAATTGCTAATTAGAAAGATACGCTTGCATTAGTTCTTGACCATATATGATTTGGAGAGCTTTTGTATAATCTTCCACACCTTTCAAATTGCTTTCAACAAAATCAAAGAGGATGGCATTCTGTATATCTTTTTCCCACTAACCTATCATTGTCCATGAGCTCATTATCAGAACATTCTTTACCTATATAGTCTTGCATGTAATCATTATAAGAGACACCAATATTTGTGATAAATTGGTAATTGAGATGTTTCATAATCAACTCATTATCAAAGATTTTTGGATTCAATACCCCATTGCATGGTATTGCTAACATCCGGAAAATATAAAAAAAATTTGCATGTGTCAATTGTAAGTTTAATGATAAAAAAGTGTAAAACTTATGTTGGCACTGTAAGATTTATTTGATATTACATCAGTGTCATAAGATTTACGCAAGTTTACACTAAATTAATTTCCTGATGAACATGTTGGGACATGGATTTGTTACAATAGCACCCCATGTGTACTGCCTAAGATGTAGTGGTAGTATCAGGTTGTCTCTGGATGTGAATGCACTTTTTGAATATTTGTAAGTGAATTCTCTATATATTTCTCATGTTCACCTGCAACTTACTTTTTTATACAATCTACTGCTCTTGATGTTGTGGTTGCTCCAAGGTTTGCCATTGTATTTAGGCCTTCATTACTTGTACCTACCAAATCTAAATAGAATGCAAGGTCAAACTTAAAAGAATTAATTTTGTATTATTTAATGAAGCAAGAAGATAACATATGAAAACCATTAATTTCTTCATATGGTCCATTATCCATAATTACATTCAAATGGCCAAGCTGCTAAATAGAGTTAGTTGGTCAAAAAACCCTTTCAAGCTTGGTTCTATCTCTTGGAGCAATATTCATGTTTCATCAAAATTGTATATAGGACCTTCTTTACTTGAACATTCTCTTTCATAAAAGATCTTTACTCTCTTAGGTCCTCTTTTTAAAGGATTTTCTACAAAATTCATATAACAAATGTTACAAAATGTCAGTTAACTTAA